ATAGATATAGATATTGATTTGAGAGTGGGCATGATGTATGTATTTTCATATTTGAACTGTATAATATTTTCTTTATAATGTTATAAATACTGTAGTCTAGCAGTTGGCTAGTAATATCAACAACATTTGGAAGTTGTCAACATATGCAAACAGTTTAGGAGGATGAATTTTGCAAATGATAAGGGTTAGTTGTATGTCCCGCAGAATAAACTATGTTTATTTTACTGTAATGAGAATATGAATATTATCCTCATCCCACTTACTTTCTTGTTCCGCCTCATCCTCATCCTCATCCTCCTCTCCTCAGTGGCCATACATAGTGGAGTATAACTGAAAGTTAAATGCTTATTCCAGGAATGAACACGTAGCTGTGAGGAATTCAGAGGGAACTTTCTACTTGTGCCAAGTTGCCCAGAATGTCTTCAAGAATACACGCAAGATCAAGATCCGATGGCTATCCCCGGAAGATCCTGACAATAAGAATTGCCAAGTGTATAAGCCAGATTATTATGACATCACAGGTCTGTCTGAAGCTTATGACAATGTATTCAGAGCAGTAACTAAGTCAAAGCTTTATATTTTGCATGAATTTTTTTTCAAGTGCACTGGTATAGTTTCCTGCATTTAAGCTATTGCCACAGGGAATATGTATTGCCTACTGTAGTTTTATTTTGTAAAATGTGTCAACAGTCATCAGAGTAAGTTGACTTACAAGACCTCAGTTTCCCTTGTCCTTGAGTTTTTTTTTGTTTTTTTTTTTGGGGGGGGGGAATATTATTTATATCACAACTGTTCTTCTGACATTATCATTATTATGTTATGAAAAATACTAACAGTAATAAAAAAAAATCAAGTAAAGGGTAAAAAGGTGAGATGAGTACAGCAAGTAATTTACTCCATAGTGATTAAGCACTTGGAGAGCCATCAGTATGTAAACATAATTCTTAAACTATGGCATATATGCGCATACCATCTTTAGTGGCAATGGTTTATCCCAATGCCGTTAGGAAGACATACTGTTTATTAAGAGCATTAAGTTGTATGTTGTATTTACACAGATGGCTCTATAGGTGCATATTCACCAAGGAGTCAGTTAATAGGCACAGTGGACCTTACCTAATTTACCCAATCCTAATTTTTATATTTTTTTATTTGTTTTTAATGAATACCATTAGTTACTACTGGTAATTGTTTATTATTATTATTATTATTATTGTTGTTGTTATTATTATTAATTATTAATTATTATTATTATTATTATTGCTATAGTTATTTCTATTGTTCTCATTATGATTCTAATGATTAAGGAAAAGGCTCAACAGGTGAGATGAGGTTTTGACTTTTAATTGAGTCCTTTGTGATTATATCTGTGTACATAAAATTAGTAAAGTAAAATCACACTGGATATAGCATGTATATATAAGCCATCCAAAGCATCATTGGTGTAATAATCTATGTATGACAGCATGCCTGTCCTTAATTGAGGATAATATATAAAGATCTTTGATAAGATTTTAGACAATCCATGTAATTTTTTAAAACAAAATCTATGTTCATGAATGGATAAGTACTGAAAGTCAGACATAATTTTACGCTTCATCCCTGGAGAACAAATATAATTACATATAGAATATTATTTAGATATCTTATGAGGAAGAATGGATAGCAAGTAAATGTGGAAATTAGATTAGATTCTATCTTGTAAGATAAAATATATATATATATATATATATATATATATATATATATATATATATATATATATTATATATATATATGTTATTATTATTTTTTAATTATTATTATATTATTTATTATTATTTTATTATTTTATTTTATTAATAATAAATATATTATTTTTTTTTTTTTTTATTATTATTATTATTTTTTTTTTATTATTATTATTTATTTATTTTTATTTTTTTTATTTATTTATTTATTTATTTTTTTTAATGATTATTATAATTTGTTTTTACATAGGTTTTAAGGGAAAAGTATTGCATGATCCTCCATTATAATGCAGCTGTTAAGATTGTACATTTTCTATAACCTAAGATATTTACTATTGTGTTTCTTGTCTACCATCCTTACAGACTTCGATTGCATCTTGACCACAGTAGACCTTGAACGTGTGGACCGCAATACACTGAAGTTAAAACCAGAGGAACAGAGCCGCATTAACAACATTCTCCAGCGGGCAATGGACCTTGAATTGGGAGTCCTGGGAGACAAGCCAAGTGTGGATGAGGATCACCCTGATGGTTGTAAGTAGAGATGGTATTGCTATGTTGTTTCTTTTATGGATAATTATCACAAGTGCTATATGTGATTTGTCTCTATATAGATATGTTTTTCAGAATGGAGAATATTTTTCTAAATTAGTGTCCTTGTAAAACAAAACTCATTCAAATCAAGTCTGAAATAGTGATTTTAAAACTGCTAAGTGTTTTCATAGTTTCCCACTGTTATAACACTTCTTATGACATGCTCGTATCAAATGTGGATTGATATTACTGTGTATTGAATTACATAACATTTTGTTATTCAAGTTGTCTGACCTGATGTCTATAAGATTGTATGATAAATTGATAATGTACTTCCGGATTCACATTTAAGAGGGCCGTCACGCTGAATTTCGACAAATAAAAAGGGAAAAAGAAACTCAAATTTGAAAAAAAAAAAAAATCCTGTAATCTAGTAGGCTTTAGCAATCCCGTGGCTTAATGTTTCTGCTAAATATGTAAAAATAAAGGAGTTATGACTAAATCTCTGATCCCCCTCACCTCCGGCTCCGATGTTTACTTTGTGACGTCCAAGCAAATATGCTTGACAAATATGTTTTTTTGGATTTTTCCAATTTATTTTGGTATTCTGTGGTAGCTAGCTGGCAATTCTGCTTCAGAATCAGCTGATATTCAAGGCTAAGAGACAAAGTGGGCAGGCACCATGAGAGAGTCAGAGTGAGAGGCCACATGTCTGTTGACTCGGTGTAACACCATCCCTGATGCGACCTAATCACACACTAAGAGGACATTACTAATGATAGATGTTTTTCCTGTATCTTATAAACAGAATATGATGAGAGGTATATGTCAATCACAGATGCAGCTGTGAGATCAAAAAAAAAAATAA